GGAGAGAGAGAGAGAGAGTGTGTGTGTGTGTTGTGAGTTGTGAGTGTGTGTGTCTGTGAAAAGAGATGGGGGTGTTCCCTTCCAGCTTTGTTTGTCACGGTGTGTTTTCAGCGTTTCACGCGAGGATCGCCGGGGAACTCGTTCCGCATGGAACAAAAAAATTAAATTTATCGAAGAAGATGGAGAGCAGATGAATGTCAAATACGTGTAACTGCATTCATGGTATTGAAAAGTAGCCCCCCCCCACCCGCCCAACTTTGATAATTTCTTGAAGGACAGAAAGGAAGTGGGTGTTTGGCGGGTGGTTCGGTATGGTGTTCTCTTTCTTTGCCATCAAACGTCTGTCGTCTTTGTCTCTCCTTTTTCTTTTCTCTGGATGTTACTCTCTATTAGTGGGTGGTTGGCGGGTGCTCTGGTGTGGTTTGCTCCTTGTTTCCTATCAAACATCTATCGTCCTTATCTCCCCTCCTTCTTTTTTGCGTTTGTTACTCTCTTGTAACACCTCTAATCTTCTGGCGCTCATATGACCTTATGCAGTTGCGAGTGCCGTAAAACTCTTACTAAAACTAAACTAAACTCTCTATTACCTCTGATGTGTAGCAGTTATATGACCTATTTGGGTTGCAAGTGCTGTAAAAATCTAACTAAAACTCTAAAAAATGTAAAGGAAAGCAAACGAGGAAAACAATAACAACTAACAATGAACCGACAAACTTTCTAATGATAAAAGAAGCCTAAAACATGAGCCTGATGCCTACAAGTCAAGAAGTAATGAAGTTGCATTTTAACACTTTGTGTCTTTCAACCTTTGAAGTAAGTAAGTTTACTTAGTGTTTAAAGGGGGGCTCTCGTGGCCTAGAGGTTAAGGTGTTGGCCTCTCATTCAAAGGTCCCGGGTTCGAATCCGGGTAACGACCAAAACATTTTCTTCTCTAAAATTGTCTCCTTTCACATTCTTTCCTGCTCTCTACCAATGTTCTGTTGTCTGCTTTCATTTCCACTTTCTGCCTTCGCCCCCTTTGCCTCCTCCTCTGGGCTCCTGACTCTTTCTGCAGCCTTTCTACTCCTACTCTTTGGCTACTCCTTACTGCTGTCTTTCTGCCACACCCCTGATCTTCTGGTAGGAAAGATCTACACCTAGCCTTCTCGGACAAGGGCGAAAAATCTCGGAGGGCCCGTGTGCAAGTTGCGTACCTTAAAGATCCGTTGGTGGTCTAAAATCGATAAGAGTAGGCTTCGGCCGCCACCCGGGCAAAATTCAAAATTTCCTACCAACTGAAAATATTAAGAGTGTCCCGCGCGCTCATATGACCTTATGCAGTTGCGAGCGCCGTAAAACACTTTACAAAAACAAAAAAGTGTTTAAAGCCATTGGCCTACGTCACTTCATATAAAACACTCAGTTGTTCAATAAAGTTTACATAATGAAAAAGTACAGGTTGTGCACATATCTCTTATCATGGGTCAAACATTGCATATTTCTGTCTCTGGGCCGAGTCAGGCTGGGGGGAATTAACAATTGTTACCTTTGAAAGTGCCATACAAAGTCTGTACAAGATGCAGTTCCCAGATCTCTATCCAGTCTCAACAATTGTGTATAGTTTTCAGTATACTTTTAGCGGCTCAGATATAATAATACCCTGTGGATAGTTAGAGGGCGTGACTTGTTGGTCATTTTTCTTTTCTTTCCATCTTTTGTTTCTGTCTGTCTGTCGTACTTTTCCCCCTTTTTTGTATGTAAATTTTAAAATATGTTCCTCTTTACTCAAACTCATATTGACATGTGTAGGTACAACTATATTCGTGGGTGGTTGACGGGTGCTCTGGTGTGGTTTGCTCCTTCTTTCCTCTTAAACATCTATCGTCCTTATCCTTCCTTCTTTTTTATGTTTGTTGTTATTCTCTAGTAACACCTCTAATCTTCGGCACTTATATGATCTTATTGTGTTGCAAGTGCCGTAAAACTCTTTACTAAAACTAAAAAACTAAAACAACTATATTCTACATTTATAGAAGACATTCAAGTGCGGTCTTGTACAACTATAATATATAGTTGTATCTGGGAATGTGGTCGCTTTCCAAAGCTAGCAATTTCATTTTGATGTATCTGGTTCTGATGAAAACAGATTGTAGTTTTGAGAGGTTAAGAGTTAAGTTAAATCAGTTGTTTTTATATAAAGAATTTTTTGTTTGTTTTTAGTTCACTTGTTTTATGTTGGTTATCTAAAACTGTTGCTGGCAGTAGAAATTCAAGTCTCTTGTTTGTGTTTTTGTTTTCAGGGCACTGAAATCCTTGGGTATGGCTCCGGTCGCTATTTTCACGCTACAGCTTATGCTGCATCTAAAGCGGTAAGTCGTCACCTTTTTGCTTTCAAATTTCTCTGTCTTAACACGAGGCACTTACGCTTTTAGCGACTCTGGAGACATTTCCTTTTGTTTTTGTTTGTTTGTTTGTTGTTTTTTTTCCCAAAAATTAAGAGTGGGTGGTTGGTGGGTGCTCTGGTGTGGTTTGCTTCTTCTTTCCTATCAAACATCTATCGTCCTTATCTCGCCTCCTTTTTTATGTTTGTTACTCTCTCGTAACACCTCTAAACTTCTGGCGCTCATAAGACCTTATATGCAGTTGCGAGCGCTGTAAAACCTCTACTAAAACAAAACAAAATTACGAATTGATAGTGTATATCAGAAAAAGGGTAAAAGTATTAAACATAGATTACATAAAGTTTGGGTTGGGGGGGGGGGAGGCATGCCAGCTGTGGTAGAATGCTGTCAATATCAGTTATGAAATGAATGGAAATATTTTTTTAGAATAGAGTGTAGAGGGTGTCTGTGTTTTTAGTTGAAACGGGAAATTTGTGCTTCAGAAAACAAGGTAAGTTTTCTTATTAGAGCCCAGTGCAAAGGAAGGCCGTCATTGAATTGGTTCTCTTGTACTTTTGTTACTATGCTTATTATTTATTGCCCTTTTCTTTTTAGTGCAAAAGGACCCTGTTGCTGTCATTGTTTCTTTTTTCCCCCCGCCCATACTTAAATACTAAGAAGGTAGAGTATTCACTACTTTCTGGCCCATATCACTGCTGGTGTCTTGTGTGACATGATTTGTGGGTGGTTGGCGGGTGCTCTGGTTTGGTTTGCTCCTTCTTTCCATTGAAACATCTATTGTCCCCATCTCTCCTCCTATTTTTTTGTGTATGTTACTCTCCTGTAACACATCTATTCTTCGGCTCTTATATGACCTTATTGTATTATAAGTGCCACAAAACTCGTAACTAAAACTAAAACTGACATGATTTTCCTTATGTGACAACACCAATATATGTTTTATTTTACTCTTACCTTCAGGTGCCAATGAGCCGTTTCGAGCAAGACAAGTTTCTGGACTATGACAAAATGGAGTACAATGTGAAACTAGCAAAGGACAAGTGAGTCTTGCTTAGGTTATCAGGGCTGTCCGTTTATGTTCTGGGTTGGATCATTGTTTTCGATTTTGTGTATGGTCTTAACACAGGCGTTCTGAAATGGTTAAGTTCGTGTAGTTCGGAATTTGTGCTTTTATTTGGGCTTTATTTTGTGTCTGTTCTTTATTCATGATTCTGTGTGAGAATGTGAGATATGCTTTGAACATTTGGCTACATCAGAATTACAAATCTGCCCAGTGCGTAGTTTTGAGAAATTTGACATCAAAGGTGTTGAGTTTCACATCATGTCAAGCTTTTTCGAATGCTATTTTTTTAATTTAATGATAACGACTCCGAATAATCTTATGGTTTTGATAGAGCTGATAGAACGTTTAATTTGGTTTCTGACCTCGTGGTCTTAGCAACTCAAAACAGCCAAAAATGTCCATTAGAACTTTGCTATTCTGAGGTAGGTAACGATTTGTCTCGTTTTTGCTTCCTCCCCCCCCCCCCCCCATTAGCTTAATTAAATGATTTAAAGATTTTCTGGAGCTCACGTTTTTAAGGAAGCTTTGTGTTTTTCCTTTTTATGTGACTGGTTAGGTTTTTGGTAAGGAAGGTTAGTCTGACTTGACCTTTTATTGTTTCCAATCAGGCTGGGCCGCCCTCTGACCCTTTCTGAAAAGATCCTGTACGGCCATCTGGACAATGTGAAAAACCAGGTATGTGAAACAGAGGTGCTGATTTTTGGGATAAATCTGAAAATCAGGATTTCTGATATCATCTGGGTTTTATCAGACTTGTGCATGTCGTATTGCACTTTGAATAAACATTGTTTTGATACAAGATATATCCTGCCTCTTAAATAATCAATGTTGATAGCGGCATTAATTCCATATTCTGATATTTGTTTACAAGAATTGAAGATGTATTTGACAGTTCAGTATGATCCATGAATTTTGGGTTCTTACACTTGTGTTACCACGAGGGCTAAAAAGTTCAGGGTTTTTTTGTAGCCAGTTGGCACGTTGGTGTGAAAGCTGTCTCAGCTTCTGAATTCTTGGTGTGTTCTGGGTGCCGATGGGTTTAGGAAGCCTAATTCTCTGAGGAAAATACCAATGCAGTGGTGATGACGGTGGTGCAGCTGGCTGATGAAGGCAACTGATGGGCAGAGGTTGGCGAATTGAATCCCAGCGAAGTCCAAAACTTCTTTTGTCCTATTACAGAAAGTGTTTTTGTACTCACAGTTCATGTGTTATGAGAGGGGACAAGGGCTGTTTTGCTGTGCCTGTATTATGGTATTATATTATAATATTAGGACCTCATGCTTTAAGGCTTCTGGCGTTTCTGTTTCAAATTTTTTTCTTGTTAATCCAATAGCCTTTGGTTGTGTGCTCTCAGCCCAATGCCATGTTAGAAAAATGATGAAGTTCTTGGACTTTTGTTCTTTTTTGCATTACGTGGTATTGTCGGTGGTTGGGATGGGACGTACAAGTTGACGCCGGAGATATTTTAGTGTGTGATATTCAAAGAGCAGATGTTGGATTGGCTTGTAGTGTTGGAATACATTACATTGATAGACTTTTCAATTATATCGATTTGATGGTGTTGTAATGGTGTGACCCTGCACATTTGTCTTCTTCTCTTTTATATGTACATCTTTTCCTCTATTTTTTTTCCGCCAGGACATTGAGAGAGGAGTGAGTTACCTCAAGCTCCGCCCGGACAGAGTGGCTATGCAGGACGCTACAGCACAGGTTGGTCTACTCAGGGCATTGCTCCAATTCCATTATGTAGACAGCACAGAAGCTTATTTTCCAGATAAGCCTGTAAATCGGGGTTTCCGAAATTACCTGGACTTTGTAATATACTCCTGTTTACCCGTCTATACATTTATTCTAATCTCTTTTTGCTAAACTTTCTAAATTTCCTTAATACCAGCTTAACTAGTACGGAATATGATCCATAAATTAGGAGTCCCCACTCTCATGTTTCCACGGGGTCTGAAATGTTTAGGGTTTTTTATTTTTCGCAACGAGATGGCGCCTCTTGATACATGTCATCAAAAGGTTAGGAATGTGTACGGCTTCTGAGATGTGTTTATTTGTATATTTTGTCAATTTTGTGGCCTGTTTTTTTTTCTCATATCCCTCTGCTCAAATGCGATGTTGTGGTAACTTAAAGCTAATACATTTTTCTGTTTTCTGTATGAAAGAAGTAAATAATATTTAATTTGAAGGCAAATCGGTAGTTGGTCAATTTAAGACGTTTTGGGATCATCTTCACGTACAAATGTATAACCAATGTATTTCCCCAGATGGCGATGTTGCAGTTCATCTCCAGCGGCCTGCCCAAAGTGGCGGTGCCGTCCACCATCCATTGTGACCACTTGATTGAAGCCCAAGTGGGAGGAGAGCAGGACTTGAAGCGGGCGAAGGTGAACTCACTGCATGATAGGACTACCACTGATAGTTATTATAAGGAAACCAGTAGAAATATAGGGGGGGGGGGGGGGTTGAGGCTCCTTCATCTATTTTTATTTGTAGTGGATGTTGACCCCTTGAAAATAGAATGATGTGAAAGACATTTTTACTTAAAATCATTTAAGAATTTGTGATGTGTTATAAAACCCCATTTTTGTACTTTTAGAAGCTGGAAGTTTGGGAAATTGTGATTAAAAAATATTAGCTTTTAATTGAAAAACTTTGCGTTCCTGTATTCTTTATAGTGAAATTCTGTTATGTGGTTTATGACTTTACCGTTAGTTTATATTCATATTTTGATATTTAAGATGTTTGTGGTCAGTGTTACAAAGCCCAGCATCATCATTGCTGTGGCCATCGACATCAGCGAAGAAAAATTTGTCACACACTTGACCTACATTAAACAGTACCGCCGGTACAAGTACAGCCAAAAGGTGCAGGGAGACACAAGTCGTCTTCCTGTGTAAATGGTTGCACACATGCTCCTCTGTAATGATTGCAGATTGACTCTTTTCATTTCGTGAGATACATCATACAGTCGAACCTGCTTGAATGGCTACCTGTCCAAGAAAGTCGCCTGTACAAATGACCACTTCCCACTTCCCCCCTTGCATTTTAAAAAATGTTCTAATGACAGTGTCCAAAATGTCCACCTGTCTAAGACAACCATTTTTGTCCTCAATGATGAATGGCTATTTTGGAAGTTTCGACTGTATTTTATCCTTATTGAGGATTATTAAGTCACTTGAAGTGGTTAAACTTTTTATGTTCATCAGTTAATTGACTGTCTTTATCTCAGAAGGATTTTTTTCCTGCAGTTGAGTTGAGGGTAAGAAGTGATTATTTCGGAATCTAGCAACAAGAGAAAGTAATCACTTCTTGTCCTTTCTGATGATTTGATTGTGAACGGGCTTATGGTGGGGATAGCTTTGCTCAGGTACAGAGGTGACGATTTTCTGGATAAATTCCAATCTGTGAAATTGTCTGGATTATGCTGGACTTCTTGAATACTAGATATTACATATATTAAACATGATCCGTATATTTTGTGTCCCAGCGTGTGTTTCCACGAGGTCAGAACAGTTCAGGAATTATTTTTCATAGTCAGTGGACACCTCTGTAGGTAGTTTCAAAGTTTATCTGCCTTTAGTTGTGTTGATCGCTGTGTGAGTTGTGTGCAAAATTAGGTACTGAACTATTAACTTTTGCTTTGCTCTTTCTTTACGGGATACATTCGCTTTGTCTGCAGGATCTCAACAAGGAAGTGTATGACTTTTTGGCCACGGCCAGCTCTAAGTATGGAGTCGGATTTTGGAAGCCAGGCAGCGGCATCATTCATCAGGTACATTGGTCTCACTTGTTTGTGTGCCGTGGTGTTTTTGAATCTATGCAGTGGGTGGTTGGTGGGTGCTGTGGTACGGGTTGCTCCTTTTTTTCCTGTCAAACCTCTGTTCACCTTATCTCTCCTCCTTATTTTTTTATATTCGTTTTTCTCTTGTAAAACCACTAATCTTCGGCACTTATATGACCTAATTGTGTTGCAAATGCTGTAAAACTCTTACTAAAACATGAAAAATGTGTACTGATACTGTTCAAACACAAGGCAGGTTTTTTCTCTTGTAACACCTGCAGTCTTCGGCAGTTTTATGCAAGCACAGTAAAAACTCTTACTTAAACGCTAAAAAAGTGTACCGATGTTGTTCAAACACAAGGAATGTAGTGTTTGTAATGACAGGGGAAATTTTATGTTAGTAAGATTTATCAGGAAATTTTATGTGAATTTATCGGTTGGTTTTTTTTTTCCAAAATGTATTCATATCCCATATTTTCTTTTCATATGTCTCCTTTCTTTGTAATGTTTCATGGGCATGTATGAATGTTAAAGTACGTATAATGGTTAGATATAAAAAAGTAAAAAACCCAGTCTACTGAGGCAAGTGTTGATGTTATGTTCTTTTGATTAGTTAGATGTTATTTGAAGTTATATTATGAATAACCATGATGAATGCGAGAATAACAATATTTTATATGTCCATCCTATGCCTAGTCATGTTTTTATGCATCTGTTAACGTAAGTGTGTTGTGTGTGTTAGTGTTGACAAGAGCATGTGCATATGTGAGGCAGCGTGGTGGAATCAGGCTCTCGTCAAAATAATGAAATCAAAGAAAACGGCAGTTTTCTCCCTGCTTAGCCATTTTTATCAAATTTTTGTTTTTTTAGCTCAACACCTTTTATGTCCATTTACAAACACATTCCTTTGAGGATTTCACCGAAAACGCTGATTAAAGGCACACAAATATAAATTTACAGTTTCCATGGACTCTCCAGCTTTGGAATTTACCAAGCTTTGGCGGCCATTTTCTCGCTAATTTTACCTCTTAAACCAGGTGACCCCCACCTCCTTCAGTCCAAAATATCTCCACTTCTATTGAAGATGGATGGGAAATTTTTTCATTGAAAGCAACACAAATGAACAAGCTTTAAGATGATTAACCAATAATTCAATATGTCCAAAAATTGACGAGAGCCTGATTCCACCACGCTGCCTCACATATATGTATTTACCGTGCCACAGAAGATTTCTTTTTGTGGGGATCAATAAACTGTTATCTGTCTTATCTTATGAATGAATATTTCTGTATTTTTTTTTTATTGTACAGATTGTTTTGGAGAACTATGGATTTCCCGGTGTTCTGTTGATCGGCACAGACAGTCACACTCCCAATGGAGGTATGATGCTTTGTCGGTTAAAAGTACAGTTGAAATTGTCCAGGACGGCCGTCCATTACCGGGGCTAAAAATGATTGTGTTGGGCTGGTGGACTTATGGGATAGTGTTATTGTGGTATTTAAAAAACAGGAGGGAAGCAGGATGTGGTCTTTTGTACAGATGATTGTCTTGGGAAGGTGGCTGTTCGAACAGGTTTTTAAAAAAGTTTCAGTAAGAGTTTTACGGCACTCGCAACACAATAAGGTCATGTAAGTGCCGAAGATTAGGGGTGTTTAAAGAAAGTAACATACACAAAAAAGGAGGAGGAGGTGAGAGAAGGATGACAGTTTTTGGTAGGAAAGAAGGAGCAAACCCCACACCAGAGCACCTGTCAACCACCCACACAACAAGTTTGACTCGTTGTATTTTATTCTTTGGGTTGAGGCAGGGCTTCTTTGCTGTTTTTCCGGCAGACATGTAATATTACATTGCTTAACAACTTTGTTTAATGTCTGAATAGAATAAAGGCTTTTTCAGTAAAATAGTTTGAAAAGGTGTGTAAAAGTATTCCATTTTGAGAACCTCTTATCTTTACTAAGTACCAACAGCGGAGATGTTTGTATATTATTGTTGGCATTTGATTGGGCAGTTGTGTCCATGAAATAACCAAAGCTGTTTGGCTTCTTTTTGGAGTTGTGAGCAGGAAACGGAAATTAGTTCAAAATGAAGATATTTCCTTTCATTGTACTTTCTCTGTGTGTTTGTCCAGGTGGCCTCGGAGGTCTCTGCATTGGTGTAGGTGGCGCTGATGCTGTCGATGTCATGGCCGATATTCCCTGGGAGCTGAAGTGTCCAAAAGTGAGTACATCGTTACGTTAAGATTCACACAGTTAAAACTGTACAAAGCACAAAATAATGATTCGAAGTACTTTGTGGAATTGGCCCTTATCAGTTTGATTTGGAATAAATTTTGATGCAGATCTGTTTAAAGGCAGAATTTTATGGAGAATCCTGAACTGCCCCAGTCATTGTGTATGTTTTGTTATGTGTAATTAAGGTTTCTTTGCCAGAATTGATAATTGATCTCATTGGTCATAGCAATAACCTTTATTTCTACTGTTTCGTGGAAGAAATATTCTCCTCTTCAGATGAATTGGTCATCGTCAAACATTAACGGACAAACTCTTATTATTTTTGTAATGAGGAAACCATTTTGAAGACATATATATGTGGGTGGTTGGAGGGCGTCAATGGTAGGTCCCACTTTTTTACTTTTCCTCTGTTGGTTATTTCTGTTTGTCTTACTTTTTCTTTGCACTAAATGACCATTATTGTGTCCATGTGCTTCTCTTTACTCAAACTGACAAATGACAAACAAAAATAAACACAAACAAAAAGACATATGTTGTGAAATGTGAAAGCAGTTACTGATTGTTGCCCTGTCATGTCCAAGGTGATTGGCGTGAAGCTGACCGGTAAGCTCTCTGGCTGGACCTCTCCCAAAGACATCATCCTGAAAGTGGCAGGCATTTTGACGGTGAAGGGAGGCACCGGAGCCATCGTGGAATACTTTGGGCCGGGTGTCGACTCCATCTCTTGCACAGGTGGGAGTTTTTGTTTCTCTAAGTTTGCTTCTTTTTTTTTCTCTCTCTCTGTCTGTCTCTGTCTGTCTCTGTCTGTCTCTCTCTGTCTCTCTCTCTGTCTCTCTCTGTCTCTCTCTCTCTCTCTCTCTCTCTCGACTTTACTCCTCTTTTCTTTAGATTTTAGATTTTTTGTCTTTTCTCTGTTTTTGTGATTTTTTATTCTTTCTTGCTCTCTCCTCTTTTATTTTGCTTTTGTCTTTTGTTTTTACTCTCTTTTTTTCTATTGGTATTTGAGCTAAAGGTGTTTAATCAAAGAAGCCTTTTTTATCCCCTCATTCTTCCTTCACTGCTTTTGCTTGTTCTCGTTTCCAAGCTTTGGTCTTTGTCAAAGTCTTATACTTACTTTCTGGCTTGAGCAAGTTACACAGGACATTTATCTATTGAGATATTATTATTATTGTATTTATGAATTGAAGCTTTTTTCAAACTCATTTGAATATGTGAGGCAGCGTGGAATCAGGCTCTCGTCAAAATAATCAAAGTAAAGAAACTTGCATTTTTCCGCAGGTTTCTGAATTTTTATTATTATTTTTTTTTTGGCTCAACATCTTTCACGCCCATTAAAGAACTAATTTCTGTGTTTATTTTTCTGAAAAACGTTGATTAAAGGCACAAAAAATGTAAATTTTCAGTTACCACGGACTCTAAAGCTAAGGAAATGACTAATCTTTGGCGCCCATTTTCTCACAAATTTTACCTCTGAAAACAAGTGACCCCCACCTCCTTCTTAGGCAAATATCTCGACTTGTATTCAAGATAAATGGATAATCTGTTCATCCAAATAAAGACAAGTGAACAAGCTTTAAGATGATACCAATACCTCTATATGCCCGGAAATTGACGAGAGCCTGATTCTACCGCGCTGCCTCACATATTTGTTCATATGTTGTTTGAGGTATTGTGTCTCACATCAGCTTCTTTGTTTCCAACAGTATATCTTCATCTTTTATTTGTTTTATTTTCTAGGTTAGTTCTGGAACTGCGACATGTAGAGATTGCTTTGCTTATCTTGAGTTCACATGATTGTAAATGCAGCAGGGGGTTTTTTCCTTTCATTTCTCCAATAGATAGAAGAATGTTGTGTGCGAAATGAAACAGTGTATTTTTGTCCCTAGGAATGGGCACTATCTGCAACATGGGTGCTGAGATTGGAGCGACCACGTCTGTGTTCCCCTACAACCACCGCATGCAGGACTACCTCAAGGCCACCAACAGGGAAGGTGAGTACATACATGTGTGAAACTGGCGTTCTTCTTCTTTTGCTCATAACCTGGGCCTGGAGGTTGCTTGCAAATGCCTGATAGCTGCCAGTCGGAGATTGTTTTATGTTTTAGTAAGAGTTTTATGGCACTTGCAACACAGTTAGATCGTAAAAGTAGGGAAGAATAGAGGTGTTACAAAAGAATAACATACCCACAAAAAAAAAGGTGGAGGGATAAGGGTTAAATTGTTCGATTTGAAAGAAAAAGCAAACTACATCAGAGCACCCACCAACCACTCACAATCATAGATTTGACTGTTGAAGTGGAAAATTGCTCATTCAGTGGGCCATAGGGTGGGTGTCTGTCTTTAATTTGAAACATGGAAGGACGTTGACTCTTTCCCATTCCCAATGTATGTGTAGGCAATGTGTGGCTGTTTTTCATATATGGATGGAACACACAAAAAATTTACTGTCAATGCAACTGGCACAGTTGAAACAAGCAGTAAAGTTTGGACCAAGGGACCAATGTTTTGCAGAATTTAGCTAGAAACTGAGAATATAAGAAACAAAATGCTAATGTTATTTTAATAAGAGGAAATAAAATGGTAAAAAAAATGTTTTTTTAATTTCAGGAATCGCAAGCCTGGCAAATAACTACAAGGGACTTCTGTCATCTGATTCTAATGCTCAGTACGATCAGCTCATTGAGATCAACCTTAGCGAGGTACGGTTGTTATAGAGTGACTTTTATAGCGAATGTAACATCTTCCTATGTTGTCTTGTTTGTACTGTGGAGTCGGAAGAGAATTTGTACTTTGTCAAGGAACTATTTCTGTTTTTGTAGGGAATTTTTAGCTGATGTTGACAAGGCTCCTTGGGTATGGAGGAAATGTAACTTCTTTCTGAATTTGAAATCTTTGTAAAGAAATTCAGATAAGTACATTCTTTACCTTCTCTCTTTGATTTTGTTTCTCTCTGTGTTCCACTGCTGTTGTTTATGGCAAGTATGCATTTAATAAACAGACCCTTTTCCCTTTTTTTTGTGTGTTAATATAAAGAATTCTCTCTGATTCAGTTGAAATTATTATTGTTTTCTCCCCTTGTACAGATTTATGAAGTTCTATGTTTGACTTTTCTAGAAAAGAAATTGCACATGAACTGATTTTATTGACTTTCAAATCGTTATTAATGTTTAAATATATTGTTATTCATAAGCCTTACAGCAAAGTGAAGAACTTTCTTCTATATTAAAGTGAAGTACAGTGGAGTCTGCCTAAACTGAAATCTGCGGGAGCACCAGATTATCTTCGGCTCAGCCAGGTTCTTGGGGTCAGATTTACTTGGATTTACTTGGATCCAGAGCTAGAATCATAGCAGGCGGCACTTGTCCATAGCCGCTCATCTCTTCTTTCCAGTGTCCACATCAGGGTCTTCCTGCTAATTGTCTCCATGAGGAGCTGGGTCAGAGGTTGCTCAAATTTTTTAAAAACTTATAAAGTTAGGGGGTTTATTTTCTTTTGGTTTACAGCTGTTTTTAGATTAACCGTGTTCGGTTGAAGCAGACTCCACTGTATGTTCTTTTTTCTTAGCCCCTAACCTGATTGACCTGTTTGTTCTCAGCATAGACTTTGTGGCAAGTACTGTTGGGTGCTCTAGATTGTATTGGGTTTTTCTGATTGTGACATTTTGATTGGTCAGTAGTTCTGTGTTTCTTTTCTCTCCGGTATATATATATACTTCTCTGTGGGCCTGTGCTAGATATTTGTGGAAGTCAGACCTATAATATTGAGTGCATTGCCCAGTTAGTTACTTCTGGGTTCTGCCAATTGAAAGCAAAGTATTTCATTTTTAGTTTCAGGTTTTTCATTAGATATTGTTTAACCACGTGTATTTTTATGATGAAAAGCTCTCTGGTCACTGCATCATATCTGGTTGTGTTTTTCTTTCCTTATTGAGTCAAATCTCTGCCCTTTTTTTTAAGGATGCTATGTACCTTTCTCTGCTCTTGAATGGGGAAAATATTATATACATAACACTGTAATAAAAAGCATGTTACTGTTAGATAACTTGAAGTACTTTTTGATATCTTCTTAATGAGTGCAATATTGATTGAATATTTGTTAATGGAACCGATATCATTGACAGAATTCAACCATTTATTTCTGTAATAACTGTGTTGGACAGTTTTGCTTGGTAGTTAACTCCTCTCACGGTTGTCCTTACCTGCTGCTACCTCACATATTCCAGGCTTGCCAACCTTCCCGAATTCCCGAATTTTTCGGGAAAGTCCCGAATTGCCATCGGCATTCCAGAACTTTCCCGAAAGGGCATCTCTCTCTCTGTTACTCCACTAGTTTGTTTGAGCTGTTTTTGTGGTGAGGGTGTTTTTTAAAAGTAGCTTTAGTGGCCTATCACAGAAGTGTGTGTCCGTGGCGCTCCGACGCAATCAAAATTCCAGAATTCAGTATCTCAAAATTTGGCAAGCCTGATATTCCTCCACAGCTTCTCTCCCTCTGCCTTGTATTTGTTTGCTGTTTGTAGGTCCAACATTTTATGAAGGGGTTCTGTCTGATGCTATGATTATGTACTGTGAACCTTGTGACTGTAGGGTTTGTTGGAGGGCCCTCAGATGTCACTGGTTTTTATTGCCCTGCACATTTTAACAAATATTTAAATATTTTGTCGGCAAGCTCTTAAGATGCACTATGCCCAGAAAAGATTTTTCAGGAGAGGGGGCAAAAAACTTTCATTCTTCTAACAATTCTACCGACTTGATGATACATTTTTTCTTGCATATTTCCAACATTTACTATTTGAATTTCGGCAAAATATTTCTTGAGCACATGGAGCTAAAACCACAGATTAAAAAGCTGCATTAAAGAAAATTTCCAAGATTTTGGGCTTTGTACATTTAAATAGCTTTGCTTTTTTAATTTCTTAAATGACAGACTTGACGAAAAAACTTGCCATAGCATTAATGACACAATACCAGTGTCTCTTCTGTTGTATTTAGTGGAGCTGATGCTACTTGAAATATTTGGTAATATCTATGACCGTAGTATGTTTTTCTCTTCCTTCAACATCGGAGAAACTGAAGTTTAATCGTGGCAGCTCTACTTGAAAGTTTCATGGACAGTCCAATCTCCACATTGTATATATATCAGTTTCTTCAATGTATATATATCGGTTTTTTCAAATATACCCGAGTGGTGTGTTTTATTTTTCATTGAAAATTTAAATGAAACTAGATTGTTGATAATAACTACAGGGGTGCTGATTTTTTGGATAAATCTGGAAATCCGAATTTCTAAATTTGTCAGGATTTTGCCGAACTTCAGGCAGATCATCACTAAGTATAAAAATAGCCTTGGTGCAAAGTGTATAAGACAGTATGTGGGGTAGCATGGTGAAATCAGGCGCTCGTCAAAATAATGAAAGTGAAGACGCTTGCATTTTTCGATAGGTTTGGAAATTTTTTATTGAATTATTGTTTTGTGGCTCAAAGCCTTCTATGTCCATTAAAGAACACATTTCTGTGTGGATTTAACTGAAAAACGTTGATAAAAGGCATGAAAATAGTAAATTTTTAGTTCCCACTGACTCTCAAGCTAAGGATATAACTCAACTTTGGTGGCCATTTTCTCACTAATTTTACCTCTGAAACCAGGCGACCCCCACACCTCTTTCAATCAGCAACATCTTGATTTGTATTAAAGATACATTGATTTTTTAAATGTAAAGCCAAACAAGTGAACATGCTTTAAGACATTACCAATAACTCCACATGCCCAAAGATTGACAAGCGCTTGATTCCACCGTGTCGTGACACATATGGTCTGTACATTTTGAATCCCCATGTGAGGGTTTCCCTGGGATCCGAAAAGTTCAGGAAGATTTTTTCCATAGCCAGTTGACCTATTTGTCTGGTTATCTGTTGACTGTTCTTGTCGCAAACTATTTTTCTGATGGATTATATTTGATCAGTTTGCAATGTTTTGGGGCTTTTTTTTTCAGACTCAAAAGAAATGGGCTACATATTTCAGAGGTGCCGATTGTCATGATAATTTCCTAAATCTGGATTTTTGAAACTGTCCGCATTTTTGTGATTAACTCCTGCTTATATATATATA